GGGAGTAACCAAAACAGTTATCAACTGCAGTACAGTTGGATATCCTAGATACCACACAGAAATTTATGAAGACCTACCTGCCATGGAACATGACTCAGAAAAACCACATGATTGTTTTGAACAGATGAAGATGGAAACTACCCACTTACCAACTGTGCACGAGACTGCTCTGCTTAACCCAGACCAAACACTGTTTGTGGATGGTTCCAGATTTGCTGATGAGCAAGGGCAATATCACACTGGATATGCAGTTACTACAGAAAGCCAGATACTACAGGCAGCCAACTAAGTCAGCTCAAGAAGCCGAGTTAACAGCCCTCACAGTGGCCTGCAAACTATCCGAAGGTCTACGTGTCAGTATTTATACAGATTCAAGATATGCCATGGGAGTGGCACACGATTTTGGTCTAATTTGGAAAACTAGAGGATTTCTCACAGCCACCGGTACTCCGGTGAAACATGGGGCAGCTACAAGATAACCATGTCTACACTTTTGGTATAATTCCTCAAACACAGATGTAGCTACTTTTACTTTCGATTACTGTGACATTGTTACCTGCACCTTTCCACAAACACAATATGGAAAGGTGCAGGTAACAATGCACCTACCAAGTAAAAAAGGACATACCCAGTAAAAAAGACCCATACATTTGTGTGACTGCAGGGTCCTGGGGACATCATTGTAGTTCATGAAAGGTGGCTGGGTGGAACACGGGTAGACCATGGGGCTATAGGCCCCAGAGCGCCCTAGACAGAATTGACAAATATCGGAAACCCCTACTCTCCAGAATGACCTTAAGTAAACCTATCGGGTCAACACCCATTAAACTCACACTGAACATAGAGCACCCTAGTCCAAAGGATGCGGGGGAATATGTAATGGGCATGTACTGGAGGGGAGGTGGCTCATACAACAAGTTGGGAACATTCTATCTACAAGATATGCATGCCTCACCTGACTGGGTAGGAACTACTCACATGACTGTTAACCCACTGAAACCACATATTAAGACTTTACATCATATGGTAGCCATAGCCAATCCTACTTTTGAAGACACGATGGCAGTGGAAACTGGGTTCTCAGACACTAATTTATGGCTGGAATGGATGAGATATAATGCTAACTCACACAATAAGACTAATTGTTATGTATGTGGAGGAGCCAGGCCCCACCTGGGTACGGTGCCTTTAACCCTACCTCCCGATGTTGAATTATGTGTCCTGAGTCTTTATGCACAATCTACCACTAACTCCTCGACGTGTGAATCATGGAAAAAGATCTACCCAATCACCCAGGGACACGTTAGACCTCCTGATGGAGTCATGGTATACCCAGGTAACTACACTTGTTACTCAGTACCTAGGAATACAGGTACATTTATGGGCAAATTCCCATCTGGTTATTGCTCCACCTATCATAATCCACCCATAGCATTATTAATGAATCATGCAAAGACAGTTGGGGACATATATTGGCTATGTGGTGATAAACAACTGAGATCCCAACTGGTGGGGCTATGGTGGGGAGAATGTACATTGACCAAAGCCATAATGCCTATCCACATTATCCCTGGATGGCTATCACAATGTGTTAGACCCCGCGCACACACACTCCAGAGCCAGGAGGGAAGCCCCAATCCGAGGAAGTTTTGATACACATGTTTATATTGATGCCATTGGTGTGCCAAGGGGGGTGCCCAACGAGTTCAAGGCAAGGGATGAAGTGGCAGCCGGGTTTGAATCTTTGATTCCAATGATTACTGCTAATAAGAACGTCAATTGGATTAACTATATCTATTATAATCAGCAGCGGTTTGATAATTATACCAGGGATGCCCTACAAGGCCTAACAGAACAGCTGCAAGCCACCACCCAAATGACATTTCAAAATAGAATGGCTCTGGATATGATCTTGGCGGAAAAGGGGGGCGTATGTAAAATCCTCCCCGAAATAATCGGTTGCACATTTATTCCAGATAACACTGGGCCCAATGGTAAGGTAACAATGGCTATAGAGAAACTAGATAGCCTTTCTGATGAACTAAGGAAGAACTCAGGAGTCATTGATACCTGGGACAGGTGGTTTGGATGGATGAATGGCGGCAGAGAACCCTATTCCAGGTTGGGACAGCAGTTCTCATAATGATTATCATCTTTCTATTTCTAACCTGTTGTGTACTTCCTTGTATACAGATATACTTACATAAGACAGTAGGGAAGACTATAGACAACGTAACTCCTACTTTCCTACATCAGGACGTCACTGACCTAGAATGTGACACACCACATACACCCCTCCAATCCCATCAGTTCAAACAGACAACTGCATTCCTGTAGGGATAGCGTAGGGAAAGCGTCTGTCTCTACGGGCAAGTCTCGCGCTCGGGAGACAAAATGGCCGCCAATTCTTGGAGCACGTGTGTTCGGTTAAACGAATGGCGGCCACACATGGAAAACACTTGCACTGACGATCAATTTGTGGTTAACAGCCAGGGGTGGTTGGTGATTGTAAGGTGTTAACAGGGGACCACACAAAGTTGGTTTGGTAAATGAACAGGGGAAGAGGGGGGGTTACGGACAGCCGAACGAAAGGGAATAAAAGTGTGTAGTTAGGGCATCCATTCCGCTACATAGATGATTTTAATGCTGATATTGCCTTAAATACTTACAAAGCTCAGAGCAGTATAGTCAGGGCCGGATTAACATAGAGGCTGATGGAGCTGCAGCTCCAGGCCTAGGCCCATGGAATAGGCCCATTGATTTTAAAAAAAATATATATATATATATTTTTTTTTTTACTTTTTTTTTTTTTCACACACTACTCTTAGGGATTCCACATGTCTTTTATTTTATTGGCACAGCCAGTATTTGAGGCTGCCTGGCTGGTGCCAATATTGCAGTGATACTGGCAATATAAATGCTGGTATTTTTCTCAGTATAAATGGAGATTACTCTGCAATACCAGCACTGGCCAGTAGGGGTCGCTGTATGTGGAGACAGGCAGGGATAGGAAGTTCCAGCATATCCCTCCCTGCCTATCTATAATCACTGATCTGCAGGGGAGCAGCTACAGAGAGTCCAGACAGCAACTCCCACCCTGCAGAGACAGCCTACAGCTCAGGGAAGTAAGGGATGGGGAAAAGGCTGCAAGGAGACATACACTGAGACACTAAGGGGCACTGGGAGACATTATGGCAGACACTGAGACACTAAGGGACATTGGGAGACATTATGGCAGACACTGAGACACTAAGGGACATTGGGAGATATTATGGCAGACACTGAGACACTAAGGGACATTGGGAGACATTATGGCACAGACACATGGGGACATAGTGTCCCCATGTCTCCCAGCCAGTGTCCCTGGTGTCTCAGTGCCCCCTAGTCTCCCCCCCTAGTCTCCCAGTGCCCACAGTCTGCCAGTGTCTCACTATCCCCATGTCTCCTATTGCCTCAATGTCTCTCAGTGCCTCAAGTGTCACAATGTCCCCAAGCTAGTGTTCCTAGTGTCTGTGGCCCTAGTGTATCAGTGTCCCCATGTCTCCCAGTGCCCCCATGTCTCAATGTCCCCATGTCCCCCATGTCAGTGTCCCCATGTCCCCCATGTCTCAATGTCCCCATGTCCCCCATGTCAGTGTCTCTAGTATCTTTGTCCCTGGTGTCTGTGTCCCCATGTCTTCAAGTGTCCCCTATTTTCCCATTGTCCCCATGTGTCCCCCTAGTCTCCCAGTGTCACTGGTGTCTCCTTGTCCCTAGGTCTCCCCATGTCCCCAGGTCTCCCCGTCTTCCTAGTGTCCTAGTGACATGGGGGACACATGGGGACACAGGGAGACATGGGGCATTGAGACACTGATACATAGGATCACTGGGAGACCTGGGGACACAACATTAGGGGACACTGGGAGACATGGGGCACTGAGACACTGATACATAGGAACACTGAGACCTGGAGTAATCGACACATGGGGGCACTGAGTCATGAGGGCACTGGGAGACATGGGGGCACTGGGAGGAATCCACCTATACAGCAGATTTAAACTAAGTAGTTTTTTGATGATTTTACAGCATTTTCTCTTATGTCACTCCTTGTGATTTACATCATGTGATGTCACCCACACATATTTAATTATGCAAATTAGTAAGGCCGGTATGTTTTTCCAAGAAAGGTGGCAACCCTAACTACTTTTCACATACTCTTACTTAAGTATGGAAACTTAAGAGGGATGTATGGGAACAACATTTGTGTGGACTGGCTGCCAATGAATATAGGTAAAGAAACACTATAGTCACCAGAACAACTACAGCTTATTGAATTTGTTCTGGTGAGTAGAATCATTACCATCAGGCTTTTTACTGTAAGCACGGTCTTTTCAGAGAAAATGCTGTGTTTACATTACATCCTAGTGATAACTTCACTGGCCACTCCTTAGATGACTGATAGAGATCCTCCCTGGGTCATGGCTGCCTAAAATGCATCCAAACATTCAGTATCTCCTCCCTCTGCATGCAGACACTGAACTTTCCTCATAGAGATTCATTAATTAAATTAATCTATATAAGGAGATGCTGATTGGCCAGGGCTGTGTTTGAATCATGCTGGCTCTGACCCTGATCTGCCTCTTTGTCAGTCTCAGCCAATCCTATGGGAAAGCACTGTGATTGGATCAGGCCACCACTTCTAATGATGTCAGCAGACTGCTTGTTTTTATGAGCCTAACAGCATGCAGAGTTACAGCTTCAGGCTTGAATATAGTAGGATTTTGCTATATTTATGGAGGCATGAGGGGCCCAGGGGGGCTAGATGGTGGTGTTAACACTATATGGTCATGAATTCATGTTTGTGTTCCTGACCCTATAGTGATCCTTTAAGGTAATGCTGACTTTGGTCTCTATAACACTGTTATATAAAATGTTTGGTCTCTATAACAATGTTCCCTTTCTTCTACACTCACTACATACAGCTTTTCTCTGTACCAGACCATGTACCAGGAGCTTCTGCCTGCTAGTAAGAAGGTTAGGAGACAAGTAGACCAGCGAGTGCTAGGGGACAGTCCTTAGAAAGCGTTGAGCGAGCGCATCATTAGATGCATTTATGCCAAGCTCAGGGTGCTGTCTGCATAGTATGCCCTTTGTTGGCCAGCTGCATGATTGTCAGGCAGCCTGACATGCATTCATGCCAGACTGGCCTTCTAATTCTTTGAGCAGACATGTCCTCTTTTTGGGCATGTTCGCCCCTTTTGGCAGGTTACGTGATTTGTGTCAGTGGCACACCCTTTTACCATGCCCATTGACTTCCTGCTTGACTGGACACTGCTGTTAGGGGTTATGGATTACTTGAAAGATGAAAACATAAATTAGAGAGAGATTAGCCGAGGGTATGTGTTTTCTTATAGCTGCTGTTTTCTTTCTCTCCAGCACCATCTCCATCTCCATCAGATACATGATGCTTGGGAGTGTTTTACTGTTTTTGGTCGATATGATTCTGTAATTAGGCCCGTCATAATTGTCAGCACCAGGCCCACTGGGCTCTTAATCTGGTCCTGAGTATAGTATGTACCAATAATCAGGGATCCTAAGTAAACAAAGGGTAATAATATCACCTAAAATGATTGTCATGGCAGCCTGGAAAAATTGCCCTGAACATAATGACCAGAAAATAATAACTTGCTAAATCAATATAAACTCAAAAAAGTATACCTCAAATGCACATGGGAAAAAGCATGTCAAACTCAAAGTCTGGCACGGGCCACATAAACAAGGTTTAAGTTTATGTGGGCAGCAAAAAAAAAAATACCTTACATTTTCATAGAAATGTAGGTTTATTTTAAAAAGTACAGTATATAAAAACCCACAGCACCCCCTCTACTAAATCCCAGTCCCCCCTCTACTAAACTACAGCATGCCCCTCTACCACCCTGTGCCAAATCTGATCCTCCTGCTGACACACACCTATTCACTGACAAACATAAACACACATACAGACACACATACTCGCTGACACACACACACATACTCACACACTGACACACACAGACATACTCACTGACAGGCACACACACATACTCACTGACAGACACCCACATACTTGCTGACAGACACACAAACAGGCACACACATACTCACTGACAGACAGACAGATACACACACATACTCACTGACAGACAGACACACACAGACAGACACACACACAAACATACACACATACACACACACATACTCACAGACAGACACTCACAGACAAACACACTCACTGACAGACAGACACACACACAGACACACCAACACACACACACTCACTGACACACACATACTTGCTGACAGACAGACATGCACACACTCACTGACAGACACACACATACTTGCTGACAGACACACACACACTCACTGACAGACACACACACACCCATACTCACTGACAGACAGACACACACTCACTGCCACACACATACTTGCTGATATACAAACACACACACTCACTGACAGACAGACAGACACACACACACACTCATTGACAGACACACACACTCACTGACAGACAGATACACACTGACAGACACTCAAACACACTTATACATTCTTTTCTTTATTGCTCCTTACCTTTTGAGCCGATGTGGGTGCCAGAAAATGAAATCATACTCTGGCGCCCGGTTCACTGCAGACGGCACGCGCTAGGGAGCAGTGAGGAGCAGATACACTGAGCTCCCTCTCTGCCGCCAGAGACCTCTCCCCCGGCCGTGTAAATGAGCAGTGTAGGCACCTGCGATGTGGGGAGAGCAGGTGCCTACTCTGCTTGAAACATTAGGCATGTACTCGCGGCTCGAGTTTGACATGCTTGACATGGGGTATACTAAAATATATCATTTTAAAAATGCCAATTTCAATAAGATTATGGCAGCTGTACAACATTTTTACTGGCATAAACTCTTTGTTAAAAAAAAAACACTGTGGATAAATGGATTATCTTCAAACAAATATTAAAAAGGTAAATTTCTCAGTATGTAACATTGGGTGATAAACATAAAAAGAGAAATACATAAATGACCAATGGATATAAAATCCAATGGACACAAAAGGATCCCTTGAGGAATATACAACTAATATACTATAATACAATATTTACAATTACATTTCATTTAATATTCTGAGACGAAAAACATATAACATAAACCCATTAAAAAGACCCACAATTAGAGGCTCTGCAGTAGGGGGAGACTCCGTGGTGGACCAAATGGGATATGAGCTGAGAATAATAGGAATAAGAGTAGGAAACCTGATAAGGTTGTTCTGTATTAATTAAAGTGAACCTGTTGTGGCTATAATAGAAAGGAAGTCAAAAATCCTGTAAATC